CCAAACTGTGAGGAACCAGGTGGCCAGGAGGCACCTTGATGAGCCACTTCAGAGACTGACAAAAGGATTTGGAGCCTCGTTGGGCATGATAAGCAAGGTTTGGGAATTTCTTCTTAGAGTCCCAGGGAAGGGAAGTCCCAAGGAAGGAATTGGCTGGTCTGAGATCAGCTGTGTGAGGGTCGGACAAGGTTCTGGATGGGCACTCACAGTAAATCCGCCTGCTTCCTGGGTACCGCCCCCTCAAGGGCTTACACAGCAAAGGGGAAGCACAAGGTCTCGAGATGCCCTGTTGTACCCCAGGCATGCCCAGTCCGGCCAGGGGCTCGGCACCACAGCTCAGGGAACACGGTCTAGGTCTCACCGGCTCCCTCTCCAAACACCCAGTCGCTCCGTCTTCTGCTGGCAGAGACATATGTAGGGCAGGTGAAGAAGGAAAGTAAGTTCGCATGACCTTCTCCCCGACAGAGTGATAATTATTCATAGTTACAAAAGTAAAACCCAAGTAGGTTGTGAGCAGAAGAAACTGTGAAGCCTGTCCTATTTCCAGACAACATGGATGAAGTCGAGGCCCCTAAATTAAAATACAGAAATGTGTCCCCTTTCAAACTGGTTCTGCGCCTCTCCATACTGACACACATGATAACCACCTCATGCTAGGTACCATGTCAGGCCTTAGGCAAGGCAGTTTACATTCATTTCTCATTAAGGAAAAAACCCACTGCTATTGAGTCAATTCCAATTCATAGGGACTCCATTGGGTTTCCAAGGCTGTAAATCTTTATAGAAGCAGACTACCTTATCTTTCTTCTGCAGAGCAACTGGTAAATTCAGAACCACCAACCTTTTGGTTAACAGCCAAATGCCTTAACCACTACACCACCAGAGCTCCTTATTCTAAAGACTGGAAGTCCAAAGTCAAGCCCTGCGCTCCCTCCTGAGGGTCTAGGGGAAATTCTGTTCTGTCTCTTCTAGCTCCTTGGTGGTGCCAGGTGTTCCTTGGCTTGTGACCACATCACTCCAATCTTGTCTCCAAGGTCATGCTGCCTCCTCCTTTTCTGTTGTCAAATCTCTCTCACCCTCCCTTCTAGAAGTATACTTGCAATTGCATTTAGGGTCCTCTGGGATGACTCGGGGAGCTCTGGTGGCGTAGTATCCAAGGCATTTGACTGCTAACTGGAAGGCTAGTGGTTCAAACACACAGGCCACTCCTCAGAAGGCAGGTTGGGCAATCTACTTCCATAGTGTTATCGCCTTGGAAACCCAAGGACCTGAGTTGGATCTGACTCCACGGCAGTGTGTTTGGTTTTTGGTTTTGAATAACTCAGGAGCACTGGTAGCACAGTGATTAAAGTGCTCAGCTGCTAACCAAGAGATCATCAGTTTAAACCCACCAAGCGCTCCATGGGAGAAAGACATGGCAGTCAGCTTCTGTAAAAATTTACAGCTTGAAAACCCTATGGGGCAGTACTACTCTATAGGAATCGACTCAATGGCAATGGGTTAGTTTTTGGGCTGATTCTGGTTAATCTCCCGTCTTGAGATCCTTGATCACATACGCAAAGACTTTTTTTCCGGATAAGGTCACACAGCTTCCAGTGGCGGTGGTGCTTGTTTGTTGCCATTGAGTTGATTTATGGTGATCCCATGTGTTGTATATGTCCTGGTGGGGGTGTGCTTTTCAGCCTTATTTATTCCTATACGGACCTGAATTGTGTGTGTCAAGTATATCAGACCCTGTGCTGGAAGCTGGAGCTTATGGTTGTTCCTGTCTTGGAGGCAACCATGACAAAGTGAAAGTGGTGTGATTGTGTGTCCCACATGTGTCCCAGAAGTTCTTGGGACAAATAACAGGAGTAAGAGGTGATAAAAGCAATCATAACAATAGCGAGCCCCTACTACCTGCCAGCACTGTTCTGACATTTACATATGTTGACTTATTTGACCCTCCCAATATCGTAGGGACTGTTATTAACTCCACCTTACAGCTGGGGAAACTAAGGTATGGAGAGGTTTCGTAACTTGTCTGGGGACACACAGTGAGGAAGGAGCACAGCCAGAATTTGAACCTGGCAGTCTGGCTCCACACTCTGTACCTTTCAGCTCTCTGCACAAAATGCTCAGCAACGTAGATGAGAGGCAGCCAAGGAGGTGAGGGAGGGTGTGGTCAGGGAAGGCTTCCTGTAGGAGGTGCCCCTTCTACTGAATCTGGAAGGACAGGAGTTGTCCGGTTGTCTAGATGATATGGAATAGGGGATGGGGAAGGAGTGACGGTCCCCAGGCAGAGGGAGGAGCTGAGGTGAGAGAAAATGGGTCTGAGGTGACTCTGGAGGGACTAAGATTAGGACTCCAAGGGCAGGCAGCGATCCCAGCTTCCACTCCCCATCTTCCCACCTGAGGACTTGCTGGATTCCCATGGGCCAGCCTCTTCCCCCTCCCACCCATTCAATCCTCCCCCCAACTCACCCCCACCACTGGGCAGGTGGAAGAAGTAATATCCAGACACTTGCATACATCAGCTCTAACCTTCAGTCACCAATAATAACCAAATCCAGTGCTGTCCTGTTGATTCCGACTCAAAACAACCCTATAAGACAGAGTAAAACTGTACCCATGAAGTTTCCAAGACTATAAATCTTTATGGAAGCAGACTGCCATGTTCTTTCTTTCGAGGAGTGGCTGGTGGGTTTGAATCACCCACCTTTCCATTAGCAGTCAAACCCTTTAAACACTGTGCCACCAGGGCTCCTTATAAGGGAGAGACTATTATTATCCCAGGGAGCTCTGGTAGCATAGTGCCTAAGGCATTTGACTGCTAACCAGAAGGCTGACAGTTCAAACCCACCAGCCACTCCTTGGAAGGAAGATGGGGCAATCTACTTCCGTAGTGATGCTGCCTCGGAAACCCAAGGAGGGGTCGCTATGAGTCAGGTCCGACTCGAAGGCACATAACCAACAACAACAACGTTATTATCCCCACTGTACAGATGAGGAAACGAAGAGTCAAAAATATTAGTATCCTGCTGACGGGCTTCTGGCTAGTAGAGAAGTCCGCATTCTTCCTGGCCCCTCCCCCTCTCGCCCTTCCCCCGTGGCCTCCCCTTTCCTGCTTTCTCACATTTTGGACTCTCTGATCCTCAAACCCACAAGTCTCTCTTCCCAGGAGCTGCTGCTTTACATGGCTCCTGGAAGAATTTGAGTCTCAAAGGCGAAGGGGCAGCTAAAGACCAGGTTCATCCCTGGCCCTGGGGCTGGAGAGAAGGTGCATGGTCCACCATCAGGGAAGTCCCATGGTGTCCTTTGCGAGGCTGTATTGGAGTTTGGGCAGGAAGATCTCAGAGATGGAAACGGAGGTTCAGAGAGTAGAGGCCACACAATCCAGGCGGCAGAACTGGGTTCCCACAGTGCTTTGTGTTCTCTGCTCTTGCAGGTGATGGTAGTGGGATGGGGTGCAGCAAGTGGAGCATGATGTTGAGGACAGCAGACCCTTATAACCACATAATGCAGGGCTGCCTCTGGGCAAGCCTTTGTCTAGAGACCAGGGGCATGAAAGTGATTAAGACATATTCTACCCACGAGTGGCAGTGGAGATGGGCACCCCACCAGGGAATTATAGAACTAAGTGGACATCTGGAAAAAGGGCCCAGAATTCAGACAAAATGGGGTGCTATCAGGGAAGGCTTCCTGGGGAAGGAAACCTAGAGCCAGAATGCATAAATGAGAGGTGGCTCAGCCAATGCTTGTATTCAGGTGTGGGGCAACTGGGGTGTCACAAGGTGTCTGGTGTGTGGAGTGATGAGGTGGAGGAAGGAGAGCCAGGCTGGGTGCCGCAAGGCCCCGTGAGCCAGGCTGGGAGGAAAATCAGGAGGAGCCGGGGCAAAGGCCCCGCTGAACACTGGTAGAGGTCCAGGCTGGGAGGTCGTGCACGCTGTTCTGCTGCCAGCCAACTGGCCTCCTGAGGCCCTGTGGCTTAGTGGGAGGGCCCTGCTTTTTCTTCCTCCTTTGAGGAGCTCTGTCTGCCTCTGGTCTTATTTTTACTCCCCCCACCCCCGTCCCAGCGTCCCCATTCCAGGCTAGGGCCTGTTCCCTGCTTCTGTGTCCTTCCCCAGATCACTGCTAGCCTCAGAAGACGCTTGGCAAAGTGTGTCGGGGAGGCCTGTGTGGTCCTAAGACTAGGAGTGCCTGTTCACTCCAAGGCAGCACAGAGAAGGTTGAGAGTAGGAAGTAGGTATGAATCCTGGCTCTGCCTCTCACAACTGCGTGGCCTGGAGTGGGTAGTCGGCCATTTGTGGGTCTCAGTTTCTCATCCTTGAAAAGATGTAACAGTCGAACACGCAAGGGAGAGTTGAGAGGACCCAACAAGGTAACTGGGAAGGACCCGGAACATACTGAGCATTTGGTGAACACGAGATACGTACCAAGGCCAGTCAGGGCACTCAGGCCTCAAAACTGAATTCTTAGAGCCACGGCAAGAAGGAGGTGAGCGGGGCCTCGGGGTAGCTCTGAATTTCTGCTACGTCCCGCGCTCGGTGTTGGGCGCCCCCCTACACACACCGCCCCGCAGGCTTTCCAGGGGGCGACACAGCTGGCTTACGCCGAGGGAAACTGAGTCACTGGCGGCGGCGGAGCGCGCGGGCGGCCCCACGCGGGGAGTGAGCGCGCGGCTCCTTTTGTCTGGGCATCTCCCTCCGCCCCTCCCGCGCGCTC